ACATTATATTTTTGGTGTCTAAAACTGTACAAAACACGCTTGTATTAAAATTTTATATTTAATGCAATGGATGATGTTGTTTGCTTATTTACATTTATTGTGTTGTGATAATTAACATGACGTCCCCCGCCCCAGAACGTTTCCGCCATTCTTGGTTTTGGGGTGTGACATACAATATGGCCCATGTCCCAACCTTTTCACGGTTTCATCAACATCCGTTTTTGCTACCTTCTTTTCCAGCCAACTTGAAAACTCTTTGTTATGATTGTTTATGTACCATGTTTTTTCCTTACCCGGGTATTTCAACTTTAACATGTTCATGTGTTTATCAACGTACGGAGTAAGACATTTCATGTGTTTTAGGACCACTAAATGTGCAACTTGTAACTCTTCATAAGTTGGCATGGTTATTTTGAAACTGAATCCTCCCTTTCCTTCAAATCGACCTGAATGACGAGTTTTTGGAACACCAACACTTTCGACATCTTTCATATAGTCTACCAAAAATATTAATACTATATATAATATATTATAGATTGTTATAACTGTAATATATTATTAATAGGATTACCTTGGCAGAACTCAATCACCCCTTCACAAGTATACCCTTCAACAATACTGCCCTCTGGCCAATTACGGTTTCTTACATAACCTTTTAGGATACCCATGTATCTTTCAAAAGGGTACATGTACCGTAAGAATACAGGACCACAAGCCTTAATTTCTTGTACGATATGAGATATGAGGTGAACCATTATATCAAAAAATGAGAGTGGAAAGTACATCTCTAGTTCACAAATTGTAACATAAAGGTCTTTCTCCTATTGATCCAAATCTTCTACATCAATAACCTTTGAGTGAATGCTGTTAAAAAAACAAACAAAGCTTAGTGATAGAATGTCGGACATCATCTTGTAAAATTCCACGAATTGTGATAGGAATCATATGTGTCATCAAAACATGACAATCATGAGACTTCATTCTAAACAATTTACAGTCTTTCATCGACACAAATCTTTTAATGTTTGCAGAATAAGTTGATGGGACCTTAATATCATGTAAACATTGACAAAACTTTATTTTTTCTTCTTTTGGTGTAGTATAACAAGCAGATGGGAGATAAACACTCTTAGCACTCTGTTCGGGGGCAAGATCTTCACGTATCCCCATTTAGGCCATGTCCTTTCGGACATTAACCTCTTTAGTTTTATGCTTCATCTCTAATAATAAGCATATCAAGCTCTCACATTCATTTTTTCTATATGCATAATATCTAGACAATGTGTAACATCCAAATATCTCCAGTAAGGCAATTAAAAAAAATTGACTTTTTTTTCCAAAGGGCATTTTTATCAACATGAATCTTTTTCCCAACACAACATTTAAACTTGCAACTCGTGAAAATGCATCAAATCGTTTCCTCATCATTCTGATCTCAATACTTCTGGAAAAATCAATAGTTTTCTTCCTAAAACGGTGACCCTTAGGAAGAAATCTTCGATGTCCCATGTATACAGTTTTTTTGGAATTTGTTAACCATATTGAGCTTGTTTGATCTTCACAAACTGGACAAGCTTTCTTACCCCTTGTTTTGTATCCTGACAAGTTACCGTATGCTGGAAAATCACTTATAGTACAAAAAATCTTGGCCCGCAATTGAAAGTGTTGTTTCTTATAAGCATCATATACATTTACACCCAAACTCCAAAGAGTTTTTAAGTCATCAATCAAAGGAAACAAATACACATCAATATCGTTACCAGGTTGTCTCGGCCCCTGAATCAACAACGACATCATAATGTATTTTCCGTTTCATGCATAACCATGGTGGAAGATTGTAAATGCATAAAAGAACCGGCCACGTACTATGACGACTGCTAATGTTCTGGATTGATCCCGTCTGAACTCAGCCCAAACCGTATGTTTCTCATCTCTTTTCCAAATTCAGTATACTTCTTATCAATATTTCTCCACTGAGGTGAATCCGCAACATGTCTTAGTTTTCCGTCAATTACACGTTCTTCCGAATGCCAACAAAGTAACTTTGCTTCTTTTTCATTTGAAAATAACTTTTTTAGGCTTGGTATAATAGGGAGATACATTTTAGCCGGTGGTCCATTTTTTGTCACATCATCATCTACTTCATCCGAATCATTTTTCCGTTTATTCCTCGATGCACCGCAAAAAACACAATTATGTTTATTCTCGATCTTCTTTCTGTACAACATACAATTATTTGGACATGCATGTATTCTTTCAACTTCCAATCCCATCGGATACGTTAGCTTTTTTGCTTGATATGTAGAAATAGGTAAATACATTCTCTTCTGGAAAAATGTCATGCAACACCTCTAATAGACTTGTGAAACTTTTATCAGTCCATCCGTTTTTCGACTTTAAGTTAATCAACCTACATACCGCATCGAGTTTCCTAAATTTGGAACCGCTATATAACAGTGTTTCTGCTTCTTCAAATAGGCGTTGTAACTTTTCTTGTTCAACATAATATATATTAGTCTGCATATCATCAAACATTTCATTGACATTGTCATTTGGGTCATTTGAATGATGAGCATCTTCATCAACATCTGAATCGTTGTTGTATGTACTATTATTAATATTTATTTTGCTCGACGATGTGCCAAAATCAAGAAGTGTTTCTCCATGTTTTGACCAACAAGTGTAATTAGGCACAAAACCATTTTGCAACAAATGATACTCTATTTCTCCAATAAAATTAAATGTTTTAAAGTTTTTACAAATGTTAGAATGATAAGAAATCGATTCGTTTCCTTTATTCACGCGATTTGATTCGGCAATCCTAATAAAAGTTCGAACACTATCAATATAAAGTTAAAAAAAACGTGAAGCTTTGTACATCCAATAATCACGATTCATTTGTAAATTAAAATAAACAAACAAACAATGTAATATATCGATTTTCAACAAACAGGTTATGTAAATTTTAACATTTTAATAATCTATAAAAATCAATTTAAAAATAACAATTAAACAATCATTTAATAAATAAACAGGTAATATAAAATCAAAAGAACAATAAAATTTAATTTACCTTTAATGAAGATAACTAGACAATTTAATGAGGCTATTTTAAGTTTTTGTCACCTGTAGAGGGAATCTACAACGAAGAATATTCACATTTACAAAGAGAAACCCTCATACTTATAATAACTAGCTTTTAATTGATGCGGTTTTTGGAATATGACACCAAAAAATCATAATTTAATGAAGCGGTTTATAAAAAAACACACCAAAAAATCATAATTTAATAGTACGTTTAAAGCAAATAGCATCAAAAAATCGTTTTTAATGCTTCTTTTGGTCATCTGCATTAATAAATGGGATAATGACTTGATAGGGTAAGATACTTTTTGAAATTTATACATTTAATCCTTATTCTTTTTTTCTTGTAAAACAAACCCTTATACTTTATTAATATGTACACATTAGGTCATTTTCACCGGATTCTACAGGTTTTGCTGACGTGGAAGGGTTTATTTAAAAAAAAAAGAATAAGGACTAAATGTGTACATTTCAAAAAGTATCTTATCCTATCAAGTTATTTTCCCTTTCTTTTATTTTGTTGAAATGAATTACCCAGGTGGCATCCACATATCCACAATGAGATTTTTCCTACTTTTATTCATCATGAAAAAGAGGGAGAACCCTGATCTCCGACGACTCCTTTGTGTGTTCCTACACATTACTGGTAGCAAGGAGTAATGATGGCAAAAACAACAAGGTCGAAGGGGGAGGCAGGAGGAAGTAGAGATGGTAGCTGGCTGCGAGGAGCTGCTCTGGTAGCCCCCTCGTCGATTCTTTCTTCTTTTTCTGGCAACATATCTCAAAGATGGAGGCAAAGAGAGACAGATCGGAGAAACACAATAGGTAAAGGGTGTTTGGTTGTTATTGTTCGACCGGAAGGAAGAGAGACGAGAAAAAGAAGGGTTGCTGCCCTTTTCTTATTATTGGAGGATCACCCACCCCCGGTGACTAAGCTAATTAATTGCTATTTAGTGCCACTTGTGCTTCCACATCAGCAAAACCTGTAGAATCCGGTGAAAATGACCTAATGTGTACATATTAATAAAGTATAAGGGTTTATTTTACAAAAAAAAATAAGGATTAAATGTATACATTTCAAAATGTATCTTACCATATGAAGTCATTCTCTTTAATAGAAAATGCGTATATAACTGGTATACCGGGTATAGCCGGTCACAAGGATTGCATTGTTACAAAATATAAAGTATAAGGGTTTATTTTACAAGATAAAAAAAAAAGAATAAGGATTAAATATGTACATTTCAAAAAGTATCTTACCCTATCAAATCATTATCCCTTAATAAATCTATTGGATGAACTTTTTTATTGCTCTTTTAATGTGTTTTTCATGTTTTTTAACGCTGTATGTATTTGATGAAGCGGTTTCCATATAAAACTACCTAAAAAAAAAAAAAAAAAATCCTTCGCACTAAAAAAGTTCTTCTGTACTAGTGTTATATCCACAACGGAACTTGAACTTCAACCTCAAAGAGAATAACACCCGATACCATTGTGTTACAAAGTATTTTGTAATAATCTATCAAAATGCCTTTACACATATTCTTTCCAAAGAGAATTAAGAATTTTAGAATTAAGAGAATCTAAACTTAACTATTATATAACACTTCCAATATATCTTTGATTATTGAAGATATTACAAGAAAGCGACAAGTGCACTTTTGCACTCTAATTGAACAATCACAAATTCGAATCAAAGAAGAGTAGGCCATGAAAAAATTTTATTACAAGATTTTGGATTTTAACATTACAATGTGTTTTTACATAAATATACAAAAAGAATAAATTAATTAATTAAATGAATTGATTAATAAGATTTATTTATGTTATATGAAAGTTAAATCAAATTAAATTAAATTGTACATTTTATGCATGGCTAATTTAATTTGTCAGTATTTGCATTATCAGTTAACTTCTCAAATTAACTTTTGGTGTTGCTCTTCCTCTTCCACCTCAATCAAGTTTTCCAGAATCGCTTCGGTCGCTGTCATTAAAAATCCCGGCCAGTCCCTGCATACATCCGACAACAATGTTAATTAGTTAATTCCAAATTGCAAATCTTAAGATACTTACTACAGCTGCATCTTAATTTATATGTAATTAATCGTATGTATTCTTTTTAAATTAATACTTTTATTTTAATATGAGATAATGGGAACATTAATATGAATGAAACGTATACGTAGAATGTTGGGAATACCCATCTCAATTGCCCTCGTGATACATACATGACTTGTAATGTACAAGTGTAGTTGCATTTAAGAACCAGTTTTCATTATGGGTATTCCCTTGTTCTAGTGTATTATTTTTAAAGATCTGAAGCTACAAATGTTGGTCCATTGCATGTGACCTTATAATGTGGATACCCGGATTCATTTCGAGGAATGTATCATTTCTATATTTCATCATTTCACGAGATATATAGGCATCAATGCGTATAGCATGATAAGGCTACTTAGCATATCCAATGTTCCCATGATTGTGACTTGTAATATAGAAGGCTTAATGCACTTTAAGGACTATATTCTGTGTAATTATTTTCATGCATAAAGCTCGAAAAACCTAGTTTCTGAATTGAATGACATCGAAATGAAAAAGGTATTTGTATCTTGTTTAAAATTTGTCACTTGTTATAAAATAAAACAGTAAAACTGAAGTGAGTGTTTATTACCCGTCCGATGAATCGAAAGTTATGCCCACGGTGTACTTAGCCTCTTCAAGAGCCGACTGAAACCTATCTAGCTCATGTTTTGGGCATCTCCAGTTGTCTTTAATCATAAGCTCCGATGGTTTAACATCACAAAAAACAGGTATAACCTTCTTCTTAGCCTCCATAATACGAGCCAGTTCATGCAAGCAAAAATAGGATTGACAATACCGAGGAGAGAAAACAGCAACTCCAACTTTACATCCGCTGATTGCAGTGTCAATTTTGTTGAACAATTTATCGCCTGGTTTCATATTCTTGCTGTCCAAGAAAGGCCTTAATCTTAACCTCGTGAGATGATTATACAAAAGTCCGGCGACGTTCTTCTTTGTGTCAATTCCACGATGGTTAATGAAAACATCGCAAGGTGGCTGCTGACGTGTGATCATGGCGGCAGTTGGTGGTTTCTGGTAGTGAAGGAGATTACTGTAGACATTCTTGGTTGAGGAAATTGAACGTTGCATGGAGAAAATTAAAAATGAGATTCAGAGTTTGTTCTTTGTTCTTTGTTCTTTGGGAGTTCAATATTCTTTGTATTGTTCAAGACTATTAGCATTTGATATGCGGCAATGGGCATTTATAGAAAGAAATAGATTTTGAATATTGAATTTTCGAAGACTACAACCGTATCTTAGATGTGTACTTAGACCTGGAAAGTGGAAAATACTATAGTTATAGTCTTATAGAATAAAAGGCTGGTTCGAATATTTTGACTGTTTTGTTATTAACCCCTTCAAACACGGATCATGAAATAAATACATATATTAAACAGAAAATGAAAGTTATACGTACTAAAATAGAAATAACAATGTTATTAGTATCATGGGTACTATTTTTCGTCTCAAAAGTAGATACGATAATTTTATTCGTTAATTATTTAAATTAAAACTTTTGGTATTTCATTTCTACTATATTACAATTTTAGTTATTAGTTATTTATTTATAAAATAGGAAGTAATACGTCATAAAATTAAACAAACGTCGCAGATCTATGTCCAATGGACATTTTTTATTTTAATTTGATCAATTTCATGACACTCGCACGTTCTAAGAAATAAGACACTCGCACGTTCTAAGAAATAAGCAGTTTTACACTTAAATGTATTCCAGAAATCATTTTTTTTTTAGTTTTGTCCGATTTCAAGACATGACCCACCTCTTCTTCTATTTTCCTCTTTAAGTTTATAAGTACGTGGTGTAGTTTGCATATGAACTATCTAACAAAAAAATTCATGTTTATAATATTAACATTAAACGTTTAATGTACATATAAGAATTACACGTTTGTGTCTGACTTTCGTAACTTCTAGGATGTTTCGTTGATAAAATTTCATATTTGTACTTATTAATCATTAGAATTTACATTTTTCCATGTTTTCAATATAATATTCATACATTGAAATATAATGTTTCTAACACTTTTTAGACTTCTAGAAAAAAGACGTTTTTCACTGCAATAAATCTTGTTAATACCGGCGACAAAGACTTTTAACGACTACTCAAGATGAAGTCGCTGCTAAAAGTTTTTGCCGCTGGTAATGCTTTGGAACTGAATTCGCATGAACCCTTTCTGGCAAACCCCAATCATCTAATCGATATTCTAATCCAATGTACGTTTCGCCTAAAGTAAATAGCCGCGACATCAATGCCAACGATTTTGGTCGCAACTAAAGGACGAAAAAAAAGATGCGATATAAATTCCCTCCATAGTTTTCACCAAAATTGATTGGAGTCGCCGTTAAAGGTTTTGGAGTCGCCGATACTGCTTTACGCAGAAAACCAAAAATCGATGTCTTTCTTTTTCGTTGCTACTTCATATATGGTTTCCATATTTGGTCTCGTTTTTTTCTTCCCTACTTTTTCGATGACTTGGGCCATCAATCAACTGATTCAGGCCACCAGTGGCATCTCGATTTTTTTCTTCCCCCGCTCTGAGATCCCGATTGGAAAATGAGATACCGACAACAGCTTTAGCGTTTCTCCGATGACTGTAGGGTATTTCTGACGATGGTAGGGCATCTCTTGCTCATTTCTCTTTCACTTTCTCTTGTAACATCGATTTTTAGCTTATAATAGTGATTAATTGCAAAAAGTTGGCCTTTCAGTTTTTGATTTCTTGTTTTACCAACGATTGTTGTTGTCACCGCTGGCGACTACCACCACCAATACATTATCTGTTGATTTCCGCCACCATAGGTTCTATTTACTATGAATTTCGAGATTAATTACAAAATATGTGTATATGTAGATATTATGTGAAATTTGGCATATACATCTGTATATATTTGATATGTGTGTTTGGTGTATGTATGTGAAAATATGTGTATTTGGTGTATGCGTGTGAAAGTATATGTATTTATTATAAGTATGATGCTATTATGTATGTATGTGAATGTATGTGCGTTTGAAAAAGATAATGTGGTGGATAGTCCATTTTGATACAAGAAGTTGGAAAAAAGTTTCAACACGATCATATATATAGTAAAACAACATTTAAGGGTAAATTATTTGTATACGAATATTTTATATGGTTAATTATAACTGGTTTTTACGTAGCTAACATTTTTTTTTCTTTTTTTGGTAGACTAATTTTAATTTTGATCGGGTTTCCCAAGATCCAAAGACTGCTAGGTTGTTAGAGAGTTTTGAAGCAGCTTTGTCAAAAGGTTTTAAATAACGTAAAGCTGATGCAAAAGCATATTTCTTGACGGTCAGAGGATATACGGATATCCCGAGAACATTAGCCATCCCCAGATAATATGGATGTTGATAATTAGAGGAAAGTAGTTGAGTATTTTTAAACGTATGAACACCTAACAGCTTCGGCAAGAATCAAAAAAGTCTTTGAATTGCAAACGTCCGTGAAACGTAAGGGGTCAAGATTGTATAGCAGTAATAGCTATAAAGAGGTACCGTGTGATATATGTAATCTCTTATCCTCATCAATCCTTATCTTTGAAAGTGTTATGAATACCTTTCAGTTCTTCTAGAAGTTCAAGCTTGTAAGCTTCATTCCCAATTATCAAAAAAAGCTTGAATATCCCAATAAATCTTAGACTTAGTTTCCTTATTTATCCAAATCTTATAAGTCCCTTCCATGGCGAGACTTTAAGCAACAACAAATCTCCAACTTCGAAGATCATTGGTTGTCACTTCTTGTTAGCATAGCTCTTTTGACACTCTTGAGATGGTAACATTCTTTCCCTAATCACTTTTAGCTTTTCGATGGTCTAATGGACTATCTCAGGACATATAAAATCCTTTTCTCCAACTTCAAGCCAACGAGACGGCGTATGACACTTTTGTCCGTATAAGGCTTTATAAGGTCCCATCTTAATGCTTGAATAGTAACCATTGTTATAGGAAAACTCTACTAGGGGAAGATGTCCATCCCAGTTACCTTGGAATTATAGGGTACATGCTCTTAAAATATCTTTCCATGTTTGAATTATCCTTTCACTCTAACGATCAGTCTGAGGATGGTAGGTTGTACTCAAACACAAATTCGTACTCATTTCATCTTATAGGCTTTTCCAAAGCCTTGAATTGAAACGACTATCACAATCTGAAAGAATCATTAAGGGAACACCATGAAGTCTTACTATCTATTTCTTGTAGACATCTGCAAATGCATCCATAGACCATCTCTCATTGACTGCTATGAAATATGCACTCTTTGTGAATCGATCCATAATTACCGAAATCATATCATGACCACTCTTTGTCCTAGGTAGTTTAGTCACAAAATCCATGGTGACGTCTTGCCATTCACCCATGCGTACCATTAAAGGCTACAAACTTCCATACAATTTTTGATGTTGCACCTTAACTCTAGTGTAGATCACACACTTAGCCATATACTTTGCAACATCGAGATTCATCATCGGCCATTAGTAATAAGGTTTTACATCCTTATACATCTTGGTGTTGCTTGGATGAATCAAATACACTGTTTTGTGAGCTTATTCCATCGGAAGATTTATCATTCCTACTATTTTAGGCACCCAAATCTTGTTTTGGAATACCTTCAACCCTTGGCCATTAGTACCGAATCCCAACGTTATTCCCAAACTCCCTTCCTTTTGGTTAACTCCCTCTAAATCTTTCTCCAAAACTTTCTTAATGCTTTTGACAATCAATGAGAAAATTTAAATCCACAATGCTCTTGGCCTTTCCCTATTCTGGATTATCTTTGAAATCGAATGATCTACTACGATATTCATTTTACTAGGGTGGTAAAGTATCACGCATTCGTAATCCTTGAGTAGTTCTAGTTGGCATCATTGTCTCATATTCAACTCTTTTTACCAAAGAGATACTAGAGACTCTTATGATTAGTGAAAATCTTACATTTCGTGTCATAAAGATAATGTCGTCATATCTTTAATGTAAATACTATTGCTACCAACACGAGATCGTGAATGGGGTAGTTCTTCTCATTCTCTTTCAGTTGTGGAGATGCATAGGCGATTACTTTATCTTGCTAGGTCAAAACATAAACTAACCTAACTCCGAATGCATCATTATAAACTAAGAAGTCTTTGACTATGTCAGGTAAAGAAAGAATTGGTGTTTCACATAACTTTGTATTTAATTCCTCGAAAGCTTCTTTGTATTTCTCACTCCATGCATATGTAGCTCCTTTATGGGTCAAGGTTGGCGATGGAGCAGCTATCGAAGAAAAGCCTTGGATAAACATTTTGTAATATCCAGCTAAACCTAGAAAGCTTCAAATCTCTGTGGGATATTTTGGTCATTCCCTCATCATCACAACTTCAATTTTTGTTGGGTTAACCATTATTTCTTTCTGGATAACCACGTAACCCAACAATTGGACTTCTTAAATCAAAAAATCACACTTGGAGAACTTTGCATCCAACTTCTTCTTCTTTAGAACTCCTAACACTCCGTGCAAGTGTTTCTCATGCCCCTATTGATTCTTCGAGTATATGAGAATATAATCTATGAACACTATTGTGAAATATCTAGAAAAGGTTTACAAACCCTATTCATGAAATCCATAAATGTTGTTAGAGCTTTGATTAGAACGAACGACATAACCATAAACTCATAATGTCCGTATCTTGCTCTGAAAGCAATCTTCTCTATATCATGTTCTCTCACCTTTAGCTATAAATATCCCGACCTATGCTCGATCTTCGAGAAATACCTCACACCCTGCAGTTGATCGAATAGGTCCTCAATCCTTGGCAATGGGTACTTGTTTTTCACTATTTCTTTGTTTAGCTCTCTATTTGTTTTTCACTATTTCTTTGTTTAGCTCTCTATAATCTATCCATAACCTCATGCTTCTATCCTTTTCTTCACGAATAACATCGGAGCTCCTCAGGGTGATGAACTAGGTCTAATGAAACCTTTGTCCAATAAATCTTGAAGTTGTATCATAAGCTCCTTCATCCCCCTTGATGCTAATTGGTAAGGTCTATAGGTGTGGTTCCTTGTA